GATCTGCCTGCCTCTGCCTCCTGAGTGCTGGGATTAAAGGAGTGCGCCACCCCGCCCAGCCATCTTCTTAATTTTTATAAGGTCCAGTTAATCAATTGTTCCTGTCATGGATCATGTTCCTTGTGCCTGCCTTTCTCTGTCTCTCTCTCTCTCTCTCTCTCTCTCTCTCTCTCTCTCTCTCTTTCAGTAGGTAGCCTTGGCTGGCTTGAAACTTGCTATGTAGACCAGGCTGGCCTGGAGCTCACAAAGATCCTCCTGAGTTCTAGGATTAAAGGTGTGCCACCAAGCCCATCCTGATGTTATAATTAAGAACTCTTCCTAAACCCAAACTTAGACTTTCTCTTCTTTCTTCTAGTAGTATTTATTTAATTATTTATTTATTGTTTTTTATGTATATAAATGTTTTGCCTGCATGTATGTAAGTGTACGATGTGTGTGCAATGCTCATGGAGCCAGGGTATCAGATCCATTGGGACTGGTGTTACAGATGGTTGTTAGCCACCATGTGGGTGGTGGGAACCAAACTCCAGTCCTCTGCAAGAGCAGCCAGTGCTTTTAACCCCTGAAACCCCTGAGTCATCTCTCTAGTCCCTCTTCTACAAGTTTGTTTTTTTTTTCTTAAATTTTATGTGCATGAGTGTATTGCTATTGCTTGAATGTATGAAAGCGCACCTGTGTCATGCAATGCCATGGTGATCAGAAGGTGTCGGATCCCCTGGAACTGGAATTACAGATGGTTTTTAGCTGCCCATGTGGGTACTGGGAATTGAACCCTGGTCCTCCGCAAAGACAGCCAGTGCTCTTAATCACTGAGCCAAGTCTTCAGCCCCTGGTTTTATGTGATCATAGACCTTTGTCTCTACACCCTTCCCAAGCCGTGTCCCTGGGCCCACAAAACACTTCAGCTCACCACACGCTGCGGCTCAGATCTGGCAGTGTCACAGAATGACACCAGGTGGAACAGCCTTTGCAGATATCCTTGTCCAACCTGTTCCTGGGACCAGTGAAGGGGAAGAGCGGCACAGAGAGGCCAGCCTGCAGTTCCACAGAGGAAGTAGGTCTACAAAGTGGCCCTGAAAGGTGGTTCTCACTGAAGCTGGATGTAGTGGTGCATGCCTGTAATTCCAGCACTTGGAAGGTGGAAATAGGAGGGTCAGCAGTTCAAAGCAGGCTCTAGGTCTGCCTGGGCTACATGAGACCCTGTCTCAAAAATATCAAATGAAAACAAAACAAAGAAAAAACTTTAGAGCCAGGGCTGGAGAGATGGCTCAGTGGTTTAAGAGCACCTGCTGCTCTTGTAGAGGACTGGGGTTTGGTTCCTCGCACCTACGTGGGGGCTAACAACCATCTAATTCCAGTTCCAGGGGATCTGATGCCGTTTTTGACCTCCGAGGGCATTGCACAACACGGTGTACTTACATGCATCCAGGCAATACAGTCATACATATATAAATTTTTTTTTTAAAGTAATAAGATATTGGGGCTGGAGAGATGGCTCAGTGGTTAAGTACACTGACTGTTCTTGCAGAAGACCCGGGTTCGAATCCCAGCACCCACGTGGAGCTAACAACTGTCGGTAACTCCATTTCCAGGAGAGCTGACGGCCTCTTCTGTCCTCCGTGGTCATTGCACAACACGGGTGCACTTACCTACATGCAGACAAAACACTCATACAAGTAAAATAAAAATAATAAATATTTTTTTAAAGTAATAAGAGATTAAAAAAAAAAATGAAGCCCCAAGGCAAAGAAGAATTGGGATAAGGGTATTTAGGGCCTATTTATTGAACACCTACTGTTTGTGAAACCTTTGGATACAGCAAAAAGGATAGGCAAAACGTGGACAGCGGGAACTCACAGACTAGCGAGGGAAAGAAAGGATTACACAATTACTGGATTGAGGGAAGGGGCAGAGGGTGTTCTGGTGGAGGGGGTAGAGAATCTCAAGGAATCTGATTCATTCTCAGCCTTCGCCTCCATTGTAAGTTCCTCCAGGTAGGGGTGCGGATGCATGACGTCATCGTGGGGCCTGGTAGCAGGTGGTCCTGGAAGGTGGGGGTGCCTCAGGTCTCTGAGAGAGGGTCATTGCTAAGTGGCTCATTCATTCATTCATTCATTCAGCCAACCTCTCAGCAAGGCGTACTGTGCGCGCCATGGGCACCGCACACTAGCAGCCTCTTTCCTTCTATTTGGGGCAGAGAGCGACCGGAAAGAGACAAA